TATTGTTTATTTATTTATTTTTGCTATGTTTATAGTAACAAAAAATCAAATAAATACTTTTAAAGATATAAAATAAAAAAAATAACCGAACAGCTCTTCCTTGGGGATTACGTTATTTATTTCTGTGTTATCTTTTTTTATTTATTTCGAAATATAATAATTTGTCACGTGGACAATAATTATAGTGAGATATGAACACATTCATACCATGTTATCATTATTATTTTTTTATCTTACGTAATTAATTATGACAAAAAGATAGTTCAAACATTATCTCTTCATATCGATATATGTCCATAATCCATTCCAGAGACTTATACACACTTAAGCAGAGACAATATATCCCTAGAACGGGCTCTGGAACCAATTCGAGTCCCCTCCCACATCATTTCCAATGTGTATGTCGTTTTTAGGACACATAATATAATAGTTTATATTTTATAGAGATAACTTGGAAGGAAATTTTTGTTATGGAGTTAGTAAAAGGAAAAAGGATGAAAAAATTGTTGTATTACGATTTCTGCCTTGATTTTTCCTCAGATATTTAACTTTTCATCGAAAAGCTATATTTATGATGAATACGATTTAGCTCTACTTAGAAGTATATATATATATATCATTCGGCACAGCAAATATTAATCTTTTAGGAATTCTCTCGTTCATAAGCCCAACAACTTTACAAGCCCATTTGATTCGTCGCGACAAAATTACCTCAATTATATTACCCGGATATACGGATTCTTCGGTCCGAATATTCTACGCAATACTTTATTTTCAAAAACCTTAAGACGCTGCTCATCCCTTAATGTAAGCGGCCAAGTTTCACATCCATAAAGAACTGTAGGCAAGATAATTGTTTTATAGATTCTAATTTTTAAGTTCCGAGAAAAGAGGCGCGAACTGAGTAGTTTTGTCACAGAAAAATAACAAGCGTTTCCGGCCTACAGTCTCACCTTAATCTCTTCTTCAATTTCGTTTTTTCTAGTTATCGTAGAACCTAAAAACCTAAATTTATCTACCTGTTCAAACATATTACCATCTATATCGATATCACCAGTAGTATCGCCATTTTTGCAGCTAACCATATATTTTGTTTTATCCACGTTTATTTCGAGTCCTAGTTTTTTACCGGCTTTCATTAACGTTTTCGTATTTAGTTTTATAGTTTCAACGTCTTCGCTTAACAGTACCAGATCATCAGCATAGCCCAGCAAGGATGTTGTCCCACCCAGATCCAACCCTTCTCGGTACGCATTTCCTCCCTTCTAATCCCAAATTGAACATTACAGGCGAAAGGGAATCTCCCTGTTTTAAACCTGAGCGAACCTCAAATTTTTCCGACAGATTATTACCGATTCTAACTCCATCAAGCACATCCTAGCTTTATTTGGTTCCACTTGTGAGGAGTAAATAAATCTGATGTTTATGTCTTGTGCCTGGTTTGTCCAGAGATTCAGTGTCCAAACTCAGGGCAAACGAAGACCATATCTGAGATGGTTGACCGAGATGGAGGACAGCCTAAAGAGGATTGGATTAAGCAGTTGGCGAAGTACGTAGGTAAATCTAGTCAGGATGTGCTTGACGGAGACACTCAATAATGTTCTAATAGCATTAGAACATGCCATTAGGGAGGTAATGCGTACCGAGAAAGGGTTGGATCTGGGCGGGACAACATCGGTGCTGGGCTATGCTGATGATCTGGTAGTGTTAAGCGAAGACGTTGAAACTATAAAACTAAATACGACAACGTTAATGAAAGCCGGTAAAAAACTAGGACTCGAAATAAACGTGAATAAAACAAAATATATGGTTAGCTGCAAAAATGGCGATACTACTGGTGATATCGATATAGATGGTAATATGTTTGAACAGGTAGATAAATTTAGGTATCTCGGTTCTACGATAACTAGAAAAAATTGAAGAAGAGATTAAGGTTAGACTGAAGGCGGGAATTGCTTGTTATTTTTCTTTGATAAAACTACTCAGTTCGCGCCTCTTGTCGCGGAACTTAAAAATTAGAATCTATAAAACAATTATCTTGCCTACAGTTCTTTATGGATGCGAAACTTGGCCGCTTACATTATGGGATGAGCAGCGTCTTAAGGTTTTTGAAAATAAAGTATTGCGTAGAATATTCGGACCGAAGAAGGATGAGTTAACCAGAGAGTTCAGGCGGATACACAACGCTGAATTGCGTGAACTGTATCCGGGTAAAATCAAGGCAGAAATCGTAATACGACATTTTTTTCATAATTTTTCCTTTTACTAACTCCATAACAAAGATTTCCTTCCAAGTTATCTCTATTACATATTAATTATTATATTATGTGTCCTAAAAAGGACACACACATTGGAAATGATGTGGGAGGGGACTCGAATTGGTTCCAGAGCCCGTTCTAGGGATATATTGTCTCTGCTTAAGTATGTATAGGTCTCTGGAATGGATTATGAACATATATCGATATGAAGAGATAATGTTTGAACTATCATTTTGTCATAATTAATTACGTAAGATAAAAAAAATAATAATGATAACATGGTATGAATGTGTTCATATCTCACTATAATTATTGTCCACGTGACAAATTATTATATTTCAAAATAAATAAAAAAAGATAACACAGAAATAAATAGCGTAATCCCCAAGAAAGAGCTGTTCGGTTATTATTTTTATTTTATATTTTTAAAAATATTTATTTGATTTTTTGTTACTATAAACATAGCAAAAATAAATAAATAAACAATAGAAAAGTTTTATCACTTCTTAATTTGGACTTAAGTGCATCACAAATAATTCTTTCACATATCATATATCAGTAATTATTGTTGAGACATCATCGAAGATAACGTAACCGTGAACACTTATAAGCTTATAATATATATATTTAATATACTTTTAAAGGTTAGCAATTAAAAAAAATAATAATGTTTTAAACTTAAGTATTTTATTCCTTATTTTGTAGATTATTTATTATATTTTTTTTATTCATTTATTTATTTATTATATTTTCTGTTTTTTAATATATGTTGGTACTATTCATTCATCTGATATGGTTATTCACTTTATTTAATTGTTTATTGTCATTTATTTTATTTAAATATCTATTTTATATTTTATATTATCTTTGTAATATATATTAAGTACCATTCTTTTTAAATATCTTTAGCCAAGACATATTGTAAGAAGTTATATACTAAATAACAATGCAATGCATATAATATGCTTTTGCATGGTGTTGCACACTTCACTTGTGGTCAAAGATTTTCATGGTCTATAGCGGCAACCGGGAAAAAAAAAAAAAAAAAAATATATATATATATATATATATATATATATATATATATATATATTTAACATTACAACTATAAGTATTCTTGCAAAGATTTTTTTTCATATTATTGTTTAAATAAGTATATATAACGTTAGAATTTTTTTAAGTTAGTTTTTGGCCAAATACGTATTTTTTTATTTATTCATTATTGTTATTCTTAGGGAACTTTTTCCCAGAACAAAGATTATTTCTATAAAAAAAGTTGTAATTTTTGCAATGTCCAGAACAGTTGTTTTCTATTTTTCAATCATTTCTCAGTGGCCGAAGTATTTCTGTAATTGGTAGTATTGCTCGGAGACGATACATTGGACATGTGGAGTACCTCAAGGTGTGGTTCTTTATTCTACTTTATTCAACATTTATGCTATTGAAATATAATGAAAAATTATACTAAGGCATATGTAATGGCATATGCAGACAATACTGCTATGTACAGTAACACTATGAATGCTACAAAAGCATTGAAACAAGCGAAATATTATACAAAATGAATTTTAGTTATTAAATATACAATACAAGTAAATTTGAAAAAATCGATTGTTTAATCTTTTCGTTTAAAAAAAATAAGAACAAATTACTTTAAACATTTTGAGTTGGTTTATCATACAACAAAATAACAAGCAATTTAGTCTATCAAGGAATCAAATTCAACAGACATCTGAAATTTACTGCTCATTGCACTTTTAACTTATTAAAAATTATATGAAAATCCTACTAATTCAGTCACCTACTGACAACCCTAAACCTAAACCTCATTTTAAAATTACTCGCTTCTAATGGCATTCATCCGTGCCCCACATATCAGAAAACAGGAGCAAGAGATTTCAGCAATTTCAAAATAGAATTTTAAAAATAATAGCTCAAAACACGTTATTTAAAAAAGATAAATCAGATGAACTTCGTGGTTTATTAAATTTATCCTATGTTAATGACTCTATCAGCAAAAAGATAATAAAATTTTACGATTCTTTAAAATATTCAACTATCAATGAATACTTCCGGCTCTTCGGCAATGAAAATACAAATGTAAGGTTGATTTTAATTTAATTCAGAAAATTATCAAGATTGAGTTGAGTCACAACATCCTGATTATGTTTTGCCTAGTATGTTTTAATATTTACATATTATGTGAATTTACATCTGTCAAACTATGTTTGTAAACTATGATTGTAACTCGATGTCAGTAGATGTAAACTATTGTAGCTTGTTGCATTGCGAATTAATTGTCGCTCCCAGTGAACGACAGGACTTAATTATCGCACCCCAAGCTTGCTTGACAGATACGACATGGGTTTGAAAGCCGTATTCACTTATGCTTAGTTTATTAAATACAGTAAGCTGTATAGAGATTAAGAATAATTACTAAGAAATAACAATATTGATTTTATTTTATATCATAATGTAATTAATAAATCATGCTACCTTAAAGAAGATGAAACTGGGAAAGCCTATACTACGGATTCAGTAAAAGGAAAATAAAATTATATCATCATTTATGTTATCAATTTTCTTCATATATTTCATTTTCCATTCAGAATTCGTGATTGACACAATTTAGTTCTATTTAGAGGAATTCTTGTGTATTGATTAAAGTACAAAATTTTAATATAAAGTCAGATAAATTATCAAGATATTTTGGACTGCATGATTAAGAAGAAAAATTTAGAATCAGTTAGTTTTATGCAGAACAATCTGGATCAGCGACTCCGGCAGCTTCGCAGAGTGTCTTTCTGAAGTCCTTAAATGCAGATATGGCCAATTCATCATCTCGTTTCTAAAGCAAAAGAAAACAATAATTAGAAATATTTACTTATTTCTTATGGAAAAAAATCATAGATTGAAGATGCTGGGACCAATTAATGTTCGCTGAGATTTTCGTAACAAAGACATTTGAACAGACAGCTCATTTAGAAAACTTGGAAGAAAGTTAAAATCAAAAATGATACTTTTTTTTATGTCGAAAATAACTCTAATTTATTACAACAGGGGTTTCAAGCTCAGGCGCAGAAATGCTTCTTTGGTTACATGTTAAAATTTCAAAAATATAAAATTCAGTAAATCACTCAAACACTTATATTAGAGACGTTTCAGTTAAAAAATTAAAAATCACTTTCTGTATGCAAAAAATATCACTATCTATATAATAAAATAAATCGCTCATTTCTTATTTTTTATGGACTAAATTTTCTTTTCAACTTTTATTGCATACTAAATTAGACAGATATATAATGTTAGAAATAACGTTTATGGTTTGTATTTTTTAATATCCTGGAGTAAAAAACTGACCAGAAAAGCGAAAAACAGACTATCTAATAAAATTGAAGTTATGGATATTTTGCAGCGTAGTTGCAACACAAAAAATTTATTGCGGTGCGGGTAACATACAACTTTCACAAACTATCCTACTTAGAGAAGAAACATTTTCATAGATATGGAAGTGAAAATAATAATCATAGACGCTGTCTAGTCCATTAAAATATAAGGATATCAAGTATTTGTTAACCGATCTTGTTTCTTTCATTTTTGTTTTGTAGGGTTAGGGCTCCTCCACTAGGCAATAAGAAAAAATTGTTTTATTTATTGATGCAGCACCTTATTGACACTAACCAGTTTGATTTAAAGTTAATCCTTCGGATAAAAATATATTTTTAATTTTAAAATACATAGTACATGGTCAATTTTATAAATAACCATTTGAAAGATGATCGAGTCAAATTTTCGATTGGTGGTTTTCTACCGATCTCTCTGGTTTTTCGAAATCCCAACTTTTCGAAAGGCAATGAAATTTCTTAGAAAAAGTTATATGCTGTTATTTTCTGTGTAACTACGCATGGTTTCTTTTCCCATTCACTTTTCTTTAGTTTTCAAAATAATTCGTATTACAAGTATCTATATGAACATTTCCCATGTTAATTTGAAACAAGATTAAATTGTTTTTTAAAGAAAAATTGAAATAACAATAAACCCTTAATTTTGCCAATGTTTAGGAATACAGAGCTACCAAAGCGATCAATTTGCTAAACTAATATTTATACTTACATTGTTGAAGGAAACATATGGAATGAAACCACCTTTTGGAAAAAACGAGGTGGTTTTCTTTCCATTGTTTTGGAATAATTCCCATGCTTCGTCTGAATTGTAGCAGCTCATTATTTTTGAGTAGACTCCTTCTGGGAGTTTTTCTTGACACTGAAAATTAAAAATAAAAATTATTGCTTGCTTCTAACAACTAGCTATGTTCACCCTACAACAAGGCTCTTGTGCACAAAAAAAAAAAAAAACAGCAGTGTCCCGCTTAACTATTAAACTGGAGAGATATTTTCCAGCGGGATAAGTTAATTATTTATTATGAAAATTCTTACCTTGACAGTCCTGGTAAAGTAAGAAGGTTTGTCAATTGTGTCTGTTTAATAGACTGTCTTAATGATATTAATATGGTCTTTAAAAAAAGGACCGCTTTTCAACCAAATATTTGTAGTATTATTGATATAATAATGTATATACAAAAAAACAAGTTTCACTCATGTCGTTTCTACGTGGTCGTTTATATTTGGGATTTACTAGTTTCTAAAGAAGAATAAAGGTGCGATTACATATTACACAAACTATGAGAAATACAAATGTCTAAATAGTTGTTTCCCTAAATAATTGTTCAATCTGAAGGAGAGCAAACTTCCATTTGCTTTCCACCTGAATCGTAAGATAATTTGAGCACAAATTCGAGAAAAAAATATGGCTTTCCAAAATATTGAGCTAAAATCGGTCACGAATGAGGTAAATGGGTACAATTTGGATGTCGTGGCTCTGCAAGAGGTTCATTGGCCAGGGGAGGGCTCGATGAGGGAAGGAAAGTACACTATTTGGTACGGAGGAAGCGGGAATCATTGTTTGGGTACCGGGTTTCTAATTAGGAGTAGATTACTATCCGCTTTGAGGGACGTACAATTCTTTAGTGATAGAATTTCGGTAGCTACATTTCAAGGACGTTGGTTTAAAATCGCATTAATAAACATACATTGTCCGACCGAAGACAGTGACGATGAAGTCAAAAGTGAATTTTACGATGAACTCGAATGGGTTTATGATAAACTACCGCGAAACTACATGAATTATATTCCAACGATTGGTAAAGAAAGTTTGCACGAATATAGTAATGATAATGGGATCCATCTGATAAACTTTGCCATCTCGAAAAACCTGATAATTAAAAGTACGACGTTTAAACACAAGGATATTCATAAATATACTTGGACATCACCGGATTCGCAAACACGAAATCAAATCGATCATGTCTTGATACAACATAGCTGGCAAAGCAGTATAATTAATGTACGGTCTTATCGCGGAGCAGAATGTGGATCGGATCATGAATTAGTAATCGCTAAACTTCGGCACAAACTTAATATAAAAAAGAGAAACGAAAACCGTTTCGATTTTGAGAATTTTAATTTGGAAAAATTAAAAAATCCATCAATTAGAAACCGATTCGAGCTAAATGTTAAGAATAGGTTTGAAGCTTTAGAGCTTCCTGACGAGGACCACGAGGATATTGACTAGTTATGGGTAGAGATCAGGGATAATATTAAAGCGGTCAGTAACTCGTGTCTAGGAAAAAAGGAAAATAAGAATAACAAACCGTGGTTTGATGAAGATTGCTTAAAAATGTGTGAAAAAAGAAAAGCCGCTAAATTAAAAGCTCTAAATAATCCTGGCGAAGACAATCTGGAATACTTCCGAACCTCAAAGAACGAAACGACAAAATTGCTCAAAAATAAAAAAAGGGAGTACCTTAAAAATAAAATGATTGAAATAGAAACTAATAGAATCGAAAATAACGTAAGAGACATGTACAAAGGTATAAACAGATCACGTAAATATGTAGGACCCGTAACGTCTGGAATTAGGGATGATAATAACAATATTCTGACCGATCCGGTTGACATATTGAATAAGTTTAAGGACCACTTTGACAATATTTTAAATACGGGAAATTATGATCTGTGTCCTACTTCTGAGTACCAGAGTGCTGAACCGTTAATAGAAGGACCAAGTAAAGAGGAAGTTGAAGTAGCTATCGGAAAATTAAAATCATATAAAGCAGCGGGAATCGACACTATTCCTACTGAACTAATCAAGCCATGCGGGGAAGCTGGAGTTTCTAAAATACATCGGTTACTTAAAAAGATCTGGGTGAACGAGAAATTACCTGAAGAATGGAAAGAATCTATTCTTATTCCGATTCACAAAAAGGGTCCAAGGACGGATTGTAATAACTATCGAGGAATTTCACTCCTTCCGGTATGTTATAAAATATTCACTTCAGTCTTAACCAGTCGAATTACGGAATACGCCGAGGAAATTATCGGAGACTACCAATGCGGATTTAGACGGAATCGTTCGACTATTGATCAAATATTTTGTTTACGGCAAATATTAGAGAAAAAATTGGAGTATAACGGCATTGTTCACCAGCTGTATATAGATTTTAAAAAGGCTTACGATTCTATTGACCGCCAGAAACTGTATAATATTCTAATCGAGCAGGGGATTCCAAAAAAACTAGTAAATCTAGTCAGGATGTGCTTGACGGAGACACTCAATAAAGTTAGAATCGGTAATAATTTGTCCGAAAAATTTGAGGTTCGTTCGGGCTTAAAACAGGGGGATTCTCTTTCGCCTGTCCTGTTCAATTTGGCATTAGAACATGCCATTAGGGAGGTAATGCGAACCGAGAAAGGGTTGGATCTGGGCGGGACAACATCCGTGCTGGGCTATGCTGATGATCTGGTACTGTTAAGCGAAGAAGTTGAAACTATAAAACTAAATACGACAACGTTAATGAAAGCCGGTAAAGAACTAGGACTCGAAATAAACGTGGATAAAACAAAATATATGGTTAGCTGCAAAAATGGCGATACTACTGGTGATATCGATATAGATGGTAATATGTTTAAACAGGTAGATAAATTTAGGTATCTAGGTTCTACGATAACTAGAAAAAACGAAATTGAAGAAGAGATTAAGGTTAGACTGAAGGCGGGGAATGCTTGTTATTTTTCTGTGACAAAACTACTTAGTTCGCGCCTCTTGTCCCGAAACTTAAAAATTAGAATCTATAAAACAATTATCTTGCCTACAGTTCTTTATGGATGCGAAACTTGGCCGCTTACATTAAGGGATGGGCGGCGTCTTAAGGTTTTTGAAAATAAAGTATTGCGTAGAATATTCGGACCGAAGAAGGATGAGTTAACCGGAGAGTTCAGACGGTTACACAACGCCGAATTGCGTGAGCTGTATCCGGGTAATATAATTGAGGTAATTTCATCGCGGCGAATCAAATGGGCTTGTAAAGTTGTTGGGCTTAGTAACGAGAGAATTCCTAAAAGGTTAATATGTGCGGTGCCGAATGGTAAGCGTCCGAGGGGTAGACCGAAGCGAAGGTGGGAAGATTGCATTAAAGCCGATCTGAAGGGACTGGGTTTGGACGGCGAACGGTGGAGGGAGGTGTGTAACAAGCGATTGGTGGTGTCGGCATCGAACCTTCGGGTTCGCTAAGCCTTATTATTATTATTATAAAATATTGAGCAGTTTGGCGTGGCCTACACCCTAAAATTGTAAAAATGACGAGATTATGTAGAACAAACGTCCCAATATTTTTGCAGCCACCTTTTTTTATCGATTTAGTGATCAAATCGCAGATTTTTACGATCCAAGTAGCAAGTGGGTATTTTCGGTTTTTTAGTAACTAATTAAATAGACAAAGTCTGCCCCACTCCAGATTGAAAAATTTCAAGAGTTTCCGGAAATAAAATAGTTGTAGATTACGATAAAATGAAACTATTTACAAAGTTTTAGTCGGACGTCAATAATTCCATAACAAGGAGTCTGTACTGCAGACTATATGCTACTAATTTTGTTTCTTGTTTTTGTTGTTTTCCTTCTGCTCTTCGTAACAAGAGAAATAAAAACAAAGTTGGACTTAGCGCTAATGTCAGTATTGGAGAAGTTCGATAATTATATTTCACATAGTTTGTGAAATGTCTAAACGCACCATTGCATTTTCCCACACATGAAGAAAGTGATAATATATTACTATTTAAAAATGCTTTTATTTTTTTTTGTTGACATTTGTCTTTAATTCGCATTATTTTCTTCAACTTACCTTGTCAATGGGGTATTGAGAAGACGCAAATGTGAGATAATTCGATTCCAGTTGGTCCAAGCATGAGATATATTCTATTGTTGCTACTTGATCTGGGATGTACTTGATGGCGCAGGCGTGCAACCTGTTGCCCTCGCATTCGGACTCGCCATGCTGACATGCATAATCATGGCTTGTTGCATTTTTCTGAAATATCAAAGATTTATCTTAAGACACTATTCTCAAAAAGTTTCAAAATACCATTCTTGTTAAAGACCGGATTCTCATGAAACAGCTATATTATTTCTTTAAGTGAGTGTTTATCAGGATGTCGTTCTAAACCGCATTCAAAACAAAATCAGACCACACAATAAAATAATAAATTCTTCTGTTCATTATTCCTAGATTTGGTGGCTTGAGATTTTATTTGCTATATAATTTAGGCCATTATTCGCCAACATTTTATTTATTAGCTATTATAATAAGGTAACGTTTCGACCATCACTTGGCTCAACTTCGAGTCTGGAATAATTGTAATGTATTTGTTGGTTTACGTTTACAGTTACCAACAAAAATTTTATTTCACATAATTAACTAATCTAACGATCAATGTCATACAATTTCTATATACATAGATTTTTATACTTTTTTAAAAACCTTTCATGTACGTAACTTTTCTCATTATATACAATTGATTATTACCTTAAATTGAGTCTTCCATTAAATTTCCAACATTCAGTGTCGTATTAATTTTTCAGAGAAAACTAAGTTGTACTGATATTTTAGAGTTTCCCCTCATCTGAATTATGCAAATTTTAAAATGTTTCTATACGCACAATTCAATTTGGTCAAATCATTCCGAGTATTTATGGCGTTTTTGTACGACCAGGAGATGTTATACAAGCTGTTTTTATTATTCATAGATATGTTTTATTGATGCTGGTATATTGATCAAAGAAGCATCTTTCAATTGTTTTACATAAAATAGATGCGGTTTTTCATTGTTTAATGTGTAATAATTTGTCTTCGGGCTCAGGACCGGGGAGGGCAGACGCTCTGCGATCCAGTAGCTTAATATATGTGCTAGTGGACGGTGCTGAGACTGTCGGTGTGTCCCTGGCCTGATCGAAGCTCTATTTTTTAAAAGTAGGTTAAACATTTTGAAATAATTGTTATTAAAGTCATATGGAAGTAATATTGTGTACCGATTGAGCTATTTGTAGTTCTAGCTTTGAAGAGGATCCCATGGTTGACTAATAAAAAGAAAATACCGGGATCAAAACGTCAATAAACAGAAGAAATGAACATTCATTAGTTTATTAAATAATAATTAAGTGACCTTATTCCCAATTAAATAGTGAAGTTTAAATTTAATACTCAAAGGTCGATTAAGGAAAAGTTGTTAAAATGTATATATATATATATATGTATATATATATATATAGATATATATATATATATATATATATATATATATATATATATATATATATATAAAATGTGTAGAAAATTGCTGTTTTTTTTTTTCAAAAAATAAATATTTGAAACTCATAATAGGTAAATACTAGAGTGAAATAGTTTTTGAGTTATTGCTTCCTATTATAAAGAAAAAGAGTGACCTCCGTTGGAATCAATTGCTAGTCTATGATTTGCTGATACTACATTAATGATACTATTAAACGTGTTGACATGTTTTTATATCATGGAAATCCAGTCTTCACTCGACATCGTTCATTGTAATTAATACAACTTTACAATACTTACAACCGCAACCCAACCATAGGGCACCAATGTGAGTTTAGATATTAAAGAGCGGTAATCATACTTCGAGTCCGTATAGGCTGGCAACAATTGGTTTGGAATGAAAATTCGACAGCCAGGGCATAATGATTCGTAGTACAGAGTAATTTCAACCTGAAAATAAAAAAATAACGTTTAATTAATAAACGAGTATTATATTAAAATTTTAATTCATGGCAATCAAATTTCAAGTGTTTTTTCCTGCAACGACGAAAAATGTTTCCACCTATTACAACACTTACAAGTCATAGGATCTAAGCAACCAATCATTGTCGGCCATAGAATGGGCCAACCGGGGCAATTGCCAGCGGGGTGCCGACCTATAGGGCGCAGGTCAATCTTCGGGGCTACTCGCCAATTTTTAGAAATTAAACAAAATACATTACGTATTCAAATAATTAATTTTAGACTGTCAATAAAGCAACTGTAATAGAGAAATGTCGAATGGAATAACATTCAAATATTATATAATATAAAGCAGCTTAAGAAATAAATGAAATTTTTAAATAAATAACGGCATTGCCCGGGGAGAGGCGTCGAATGTCTAAGGTCGAGACTGCCTTCACACAACTATAAAACACTCATTTACTTGACCATAATAAGGCTTATTTGGACTTATGGAGGTGAACTTTGGGCTCCACTAAATCATTCAATTCCTGTGGTATCCAATCCTTACAATCACGAAATCTTAAATACTTCTTACTTTGTCACATATTAGATTATCCAAAGTCCTTAAGGGTCGATATGTGGCGATTTAGCCCAATACCTATCCTTCCATAATAGATTTTAGGTCCATCCTATCCCACTTGTTCTGACATGCATCTTCTTCAATTTCTGACAATCACTATTAGTCGTCTGAAAAGTAGATGGCCCGTGATCTCCTAATGTAAAGTATTTTTGGTAGTTTCTCAACAAGTAAATGTCATATTTATTCTTTTCTTTTTTTTTTAGTTAATACAGTTCTGAATTTCAATATATACGTCGGTTTATTTCAAACAAAGATCACTAACATATAAACATTTTTTGGGGGAGTTCCATCACACATATTTAATAATGGAAAACTCACATCAAGTGAATCAAACCCTTTTATAAGGAATAGTTACACTATGTGCACAATCTACTGATTTAAGTGGTGGAAAATTCATCAAATTATTCAATGATTTAATTTTATGCAATATAACTCAATGAATTTTTACAAGAAGCCCAAGGTAAGTTCTATAAGTCTTAGTACTATGAATATGTCGTTTTAGAATACCTAAAGCAAAATTGGTTGATCTATGTCTATTCCTCCTCCAACCTCTAACAACGGCCACATTAAAAATGTCGCCCCATAGCTCAGTACTTCTTGCTCTGCTATTGTGAATGTATAGCGAGGCTGTTAGGAAATCATCATTTAATACATGCCGATTGTCATAGATTTGTTTAGCCAGAAAGTTTTGCTTATGGACAATAAGGCATGAAGAAGAATCGTTTCGAAAAGTCAATTTAAGGCATTTCCTATGTCTCCATGTTCTCCAAACATAATACACTGAATGAAACCAGGATACCCTTCAAAGAAGCTGATTTGCTCGAAATCTGTAACTCCTGTCGCTCCGAGAATCACAGGACGTTTTACTTTGGCTTTGGTAGGCAATTCCTACAATTAATCTCCAGAAGAATTTGCCATTTTCTCCTTCCAGAAGAACTAGAATAACAATTGTATTATGTTAGAGCTTTGTATACTTGGGTTACCATCAAAAGGCACCTAGGCTCTATTCCGCCACAAGAAAAAGATCAGATTGGTGAAGACCAAGTCTTACAGACTAAAGCATCTACATCACGGAAACAATCCCTACGTCACAAATTATTAATTTATAAAAGCGTATTAAAACAGGCCAATCTTCATGGAGCGCCGATGCTAGCAAATATATCAATCTTAACAGCCCAAACACTGTCATAACAGCCTGCTGAGACATATTGTAAGACAAAAATTCTAACTAAAACAGACTTACTCCAAAAGACCTTAGATTAACCTATTGCGAAAGACTTTACAACATGCAAGCATATTAACTTTCTGGATGGTGTGGATTTCTCAACTAAATTACTTCTTGCAGAGGTGGCAGCTCTGTGCATAAAACCTCAGACAAGACCAGATTGAGGACTACCAAATAATTGGACAGAAACAAGACACCTAATTAGCTATATCAGTTGACCAACAATCATATCAACACAATTCCAATTTTTACCAATTGCTACTCCTCATAACTCTCATGTATGGATGACATACAGTACGAGTGATTATGTCCAATCAATTTATCCATACATCAACTCCACATCATGAAGGCTAAGAAGATAAAAAATAATATTTTAAAACATTCTTGTTCAATACTAAGCAGTTTATTATTTTGATAACTTACTGGTGTCACATTTTCGCTGGAAGGCCTAGCCACTACACAGCCCACGAAGGCAGCCAACAAGAAGAGTACGGCCATAGTTGAGGAATCAATAACAGTATGCGTTAGAACTCGTTATATGTAACGGTGGAAGGGAGGATGACATCTTCTTTGAGTGGATGATATCAAAGAAGTGGAAAGCTTTTTAAATATTTAGCAATTTCATTTCTGATTAGCGATGTGTCATTATTGGTTTCAGCAAGTATTTGAAGCTGAGATACTTGAAAAAATGAGACAATTCCTATTCCGAAATATTTTAGTTTATTCTGAGACTGTTTTTTTCTTCTATAATAAAATGTATTGCGCCTGTCAACTTATTTTTTTTATTTTTTTTTTTTGTCTTTTCCTTCCTCGCCGTTAAGGCTATACGGGATTTTCCCGGGCCAGGGGGTGTGAGCGGGGATTTAAAAGACTCCCTCGGCACCGGGACGCGAACTCGAGTCTGTTTTTATATCATTAATTCATAAGTCAGGTTGCCGGGCAACGGTGGTGCAGTGCACACGCGTTAGCCTATTCGGCCACCCCGCCCACTTTGACAATCAGCAAATGTGGCGGTGATACAGGAAATAATGACATGACAGGCATGGGGAAGGAAAGTACTCAGGAGAACCTCTTCCCTAACTTGTTCCAATTAATCATGTTGTCTAAGGAAGAAGATCTCTCATCCAACGCCCGTGAAACATGAAATGCAATAGCACTCTATGATTAGCTGCGTAATTTTTTTATCTATGAGCATTATATTTTCGGTTCAATTTTGTTTGCAGGCCTAAGACAATGCTGTCTATGTAACCTTTGGTCGTATTTTCAATAATCTTTTAGAGTCATTACCTCTAAGCGAAACCTCAAACAATAGCTCAATTCTGTATTCACATGATGAACTTTCATTGAGTATTTCATTATATTTCTTCGATAACAACACAAAAAATTGGTCTATCCAGGAGCTGGGATCTATTGGGTTATATTGACTATTCTACTATTCTAATTCTACAATCTTCTTGGAGAAAAAAAGGATTAATAGTTATTTGTTTGGTTAAGAGAGACGTATGTAGATATAAGCACAATATTGATTAGCTTATCTCCAAATAGTTTAAAAACTGATGGAAATGCTTTATGTGATTCACTTGTTGACTAATATAAAATGAAAAATACAAAAATGTATGTGTTGGTGGGGGTACGAGTGAGTAAAATTAAATAAATCGATCGGGGGCTGATCGAATTGACCAAATTATACTTCTTATCCTAAGGTGTTTATTATAATTTGTTATATAATAATATAGTGTTATAATATAATAACAAATATGGATTGAAAAATAACTGATGATTCACAATTCTCTATAATAAATATATAGATAGATAGATAGATAGATAGATAGATATTTTATTTGTTTTAAGGGGGTTCCCCATACAAATAGAGCCTAGCTTGGCTATTGTACAGTAATATGGTTTTACAAATTTACATACATATAATCTAAATATAAATAAAATTTACGATATTTAACGTTTAGAATGGGTTTCACAAAACATGAATAACAATAAAAATTAAAAACATAAAACGATTACTGCATAATAATAGTTATATGAAGCAGTTAATATGATAGAAACAATAAAAAATAAAAATATTTATAAATATAAACAAAATATTACTATTAAGATAAACTAAAAACAATCGCTTAATAGAACATGGCTATGATCAACAATTATGTGTATGCAATTTGTGTATTCCCATCATATAATAGTAAATTTTATTTAACTTATCTGCACAATCGATATTCAGTATGGATTCGACGTCGCGGTTATCAGAAGATTCTGAGATGAAGTTTTGAAGAAATTTTTGTCTATAGTCATTGTATGCAGGGCAATGAAGGAGAATGTGATGTAGACTATTGTAGATAAATTGACTGCATGATATACAGGTTTCTTGAGACTCAATCGAAAATGTTCTGTTTTTTTGCATAGATTCTGATATGTTCTGGGTTTGCAACTCTTAATTGACTAACACATCTCAATTTCTTTTTAGTGGACTTTGAATGTAAGGTACGTTTCAGGATCGGGAGCATTGTAACTGCAGAGCATTCTATATAAAGGGTAGTTAGTGGAGTTTAAAGTTCTTTGTATGTCGGCTGAGAAATAATAGTTGTGTGCTTTTTCAAGGATGTCGTCTTTGTATCGAAGAAGTCCGTTTGTGGGATAAACAAAAAGCTCTTCTGCAAAGGCATTAAGCTCAATTGAGACACCCAATTGAAGTCTATGTCAGGCTTAATAACTATATATATATATATATATATATATATATATGTAAGTCTGGAATTGCGGATGAAATAGTATTTGTTACATAAATAAATATAATTCAAAAACGATGTAAGAATTATTTGTTCATGTTAAAGTTAAAATTAACTTTTTTTTCCTCCCTCTCCCTCCCTTGTCTTTTCGACAATACCGGGTTACGTTTTCGTTATACAACAATAAATTTAACTCTTTTCTTGTTATATTTATATCTTGAAGTCACCCCAGATTAAGACTGTGGAAGTCATCGTCTTACTCCCATATTGAAATGAGTTGCGTCTATCTGTTCCTTCCACCCATACACGAATGCCTCGTAGTATTATGGGCACTTATCTGCAACAGCAAACAAAATTACGTACACTATTTTTATTTCACCTTATCTTTATATTTTATATTATTTTTACTAAATCTGCTATGTTTCCATCTTCCCATCATTCTCGGGCATGCGTAAAAATCTTAATAACTCGACAATTACATTCTTTAAGACTAGCGTGAACTTTGAGGCAAATTATTAAAATATATGTCGATTATGTGCTTATTCATTATTGTGTTGTACACGATTTGTTCTTTTATATGACTGTGTATGGTTATGAAAATCTTTTATAATAATAATAACAATAATAATAATAAAAGGCTTAGCGAACCAGATGGTTTGATGCCGACACCACCAATCGCTTATTAAACACCTCCCTCCACCGTTCGCCGTCCAAACCCAGTCCCTTCAGATCGGCTTTAATGTAATCTTCCCACCTTCGCTTCGGTCTACCCCTCGGACGCTTACCATTCGGCACAGCAAATATTAACCTTTTAGGAATTCTCTCGTTACTAAGCCCAACAACTTTACAAGCCCATTTGATTCGCCGCGATGAAATTACCTCAATTATATTACCTGGATACAGTTCCCGCAATTCGGCGTTGTGTAACCGTCTCAACTCTCCGGTTAACTCATCCTTCTTCGGTCCGAATATTCTACGCAATACTTTATTTTCAAAAACCTTAAGACACTGCTTTTTTTTTTTTTTTTTGGGCAATTTTGTCGTTTCGTTCTTTGAGGTTCGGAAGTATTCCAGATTGTCTTCGCTAGGATTATTTAGAGCTTTTAATTTAGCGGCTTTTCTTTTTTCCCACATGTTTAAGCAATCTTCATCAAACCACGGTTTGTTATTCTTATTTTCCTTTTTTCCTAGACGAGTTACAGACCGCTTTAATATTATCCCTGATCTCTACCCATAACTTGTCAATATCCTCATGGTCCTCGTCAGGAAGCTCTAAGGTTTCAAACCTATTCTTAACATCTAGCTCGAATTGGGTTCTAATTGATGGATTTTTTAATTTTTCCAAATTAAAATTCTCAAAATCGAAACGGTTTTCTTTTCTCTTTTTTATATTAAGTTTTTGTCGAAGTTTCGCGATTACCGATTCATAGAAACATAATGTTTAATTAAGTATTTTAACATCAAATATCGGTATTAAATGAGATTCCCATATCAGTATTAAATTTTAAAAGATTTTCGAGTGTGCAGTAGCAGGAAATTATGCAATCGTGAAGATATCGCAAAGAAGTTAACAGAAGTGACCGATGAAGAAATATCATTAGCAAATTGGTATCTATCAAGAGATCAGATTTCTGGTAAAACTCGAGACTAAGTCCTCTTTATCGATAAAATGTCAATTTGTTTTTCTCTTTATTGATTGCAAAATACTCAAAAATAAATAGAGAAATATGTTATGTTATACTTATCAATAGTAAATATTATGATCAAATTTTTATGTTTCATTGTGGCTTAGATATGCTTTCCTTGTGGTTTATGTAGCAATGGCTAGTTTCAATTTGAAATACCTTCCAAACATTATAAAACCCATACTGGCGCACACTCCAGCAACACACAAGTTTCCATGGACATGAACATAGATCGTGTGTAAATAACATTAGCATTAACTTGACACTAGATATTCTTAAGTTTACGAGTGTAAGGAACACAAAGATGACGTAAAAAATGAGGAATCTTCTACGAAAAAAACTAGTAAAATTTCAGCTGTTCTGCTCAAATCTGCCATTTTTGAAATTTGACATTAAATGGTATTCTAATGCGATCAGGGTGATTTAAAACATAATATTTTACATAACCTCCTCGAAATGCAAATTTATTTCTACATACGTCTCTCTTATCCAAACAAATAACTATTAATCCTTTTTTTCTCCATGAAGATTGTAGAATTAGAATAGTAGAATAGTCAATATAACCCAATAGATCCCAGCTGCCGGATAGACAAATTTTTTGTGTTGTTATCGAAGAAATATAATGAAATACTCAATGAAAGTTCATCATGTGAATACAGAATTGAGCTATTGTTTGAAGTTTCGCTTAGAGGTAATGACTCTAAAAGATTATTGAAAATACGACTAAAGGTTACATAGACAGCATTGTCTTAGGCCTGCAAACAAAATTGAACCGAAAATATAATGCTCATAGATAAAAAAATTACGCAGCTTTTTTCATCTCCTGAAAATTTTTAGTTTTTGTTCTTACAGCCTTTTGTTGTGTGGCTGTCGATATACATCATTGTCCTAGTTTGAGAAGATTGAAACAGCATTTACTATAATTTTGAAAAATAGAACTTCAAAGTTACAATTTATTGTAGTATGGATATTTTATTACTTACTTGATCTATAATTATCTTTTTATTTTATTACTTACTTATTAGCTCAATGCAATGATAAATGGATAAGGAACCCTTCAAAACTTGCTCTGATT